TTTTATAAGGTTAAGGGAAAAATCAGCCACAGGAAAAACAAAAAAAAAAAAAAAAAAAACAGCTTTATGCAATCAATGATAGAAAATAATTGTAGGAGAAATTACATCACAACATGAAAAATAAGTATGGAGAAAAAGCTTAAAAGTGAGGATGGAGGTGGGAGAACAGGATGGATGTTAGGATAGAGGAAGTAATTCTTTAAAAAAATTCATTTATTTAATGTTATTTATTTATTATTATTTTAAATTTGCTATAGGACTCATGTGCTCACCAGAGAGAAAGTGAAAAAACAAGCCACCAGGTCCGGGACTTAAACCCTGGTCAGCCCAGCCATGTGGCAGTCTAGTGCCTTAATGACCGCACCGCCTGGTGGCCCTACGGAGGTAGTTTTCCCATGGGAAAATCAGAGTGCTGGTACCTGAAAAGGATCATAAGACATAGTGGGAAAGTGCCAAGATATTGAAAAACTGAAAACAGGGGACAGCAGGTGGTGTGGTTAAAGGCATTGTACTCCCACTAGGTCGACTGCGCTTAAAGTTCCAGACCTGCTGGCTTGCACGCTCTCGCTCTCTCTCTCCGGTCAAAATTGAAAAATAATGATAATAAATAAATAATTCTTTTTTTTTTTTTTAAAGGAAATCTGAAAGCAGACTGGTTAAATTATGATGTAGTCATGTGATGGTCTAATACTGTCAGCCATTAAAAGAGAATTAGGCGGGAGCTGTCTGTACTAGAAAGATGTTTATAGCATATGATTGAGTATACAAAGCAGATTATAGTACAGTATGTTCTCTTTTTGTTCTTAAGTGTCTGTACACATACTTATAGGAAAAACACCTGGAAATACTAGTTCTCTTAACCACTATCTAGATGAGGCAATAAGTAAATGATACTTCATACATGTGTGTGTGTGCGCATGTGCACAAAAAAGAGGACTAGCACCCTCAATAGGGTCTTGATGCCAGATCCACCCCAGCCTTCAGCCAACCCCAGATCTTGGGCATCTGTGCCCAGTGTGCTCAGGAAAGTCTTTGGACTCAAACCAGAAATGTTCTCAAGCGGGATTGCCTTGCAGAGCTTTGTGTTTTATATTACTCCACTGTTTAGCTTATTTTTTAAGAATTGTTTATTATTTTTATGTATTATTGTTGTTATTTAGTTCACCAGAAAGGGACAAAGAGAGGGAAAGTGAGAAAGCAAATTACCAGGTCCAGGACTTGAACCATAGTCAGCCATGTATGAGTCTAGTGCCTTAACTATCATGCCACCTGCCTGCCCCTGGCTAAATTTTTTTAAATGTTTGCCTATGGTAAAATACACATAAAATTTACCACAGCATCCATTTTCAAGTACAGTTCAGTAGTGCTAAGTGTATTTACATTGTTCAGGCAGTCTCCAGAACTTTTTCATCTTGCAGAGCTGAAATTACATCCATTAAACAACTCTCCACATTCTCCTCCCTGCAGGCCCTGGCAACCACCATTCTGCCTTTTGCCTCTGTGTATTTGACTCCTCTGGAAACCTCATATGTATGGAATCATACAGTATTTGTCTTTCTGTGATTGGTTTGTCAGGATGTCTTTCTTTTATTTAAGTCTGAACAATAGTCCGTTGTAAGCTTATTCGGCATTTTGTTTATCCATTGTCCCATTTAGGGCCCCTTGGGTGTCTTGCATCTGGCTGTTAATAATCTCCTATGAACATAGGTATACTAGAAAGGTAAGTTTTTTATATCTGTATTGTGAGATGATGGGAAAACTTTCATTCCTTTTCTCCGTGCTTATTTTTCTCTTTTAAAGTCATGAAGTGCTTTTATTGTCAGAAAAAAACAATCAGGATATATTCTGTTTACAGGGATGGGGGAGTAAGTGTTAAAAGGAGGGTGGTAACTGTAGCAGGAGTGGAAGGGAGAGGGCAGAGTCTAGAGATTTGCCAGGAAGAGAATCAAGACTTTCCTGCCCAGAGGTAGAGAGAGGAGTAGAAGGGAAAGCCTTACTTGACCTCTACTGGGAAGGGTTATGAGTCCTGGTGAGGACAAGACTAGGCCAGGGGGGAGGAATAAGGCTGCAGAGCCACCTAATTCTTTTCAGCAGTTCGAACTTTTTTCAGAAGGCGAAGAAAAGCCATAGAAAGGAAGGGAAGTGGCTGGATTAGATTTGCATATAGACACATTTTCCTGGCTCCCTCCAACCCATTCTGCAGAGGTAAGCCAGATAGTGCCAAATACCCTTTGTATTACTTAGACTCCAACCTTTGTTAATTTCTTTTTATTTGCAGTGAAGTCTAAGTGCTTAAAGATACAAATCTATTCTAAAAGCTCCTGGGATATTTTTAAGTCTTATTGAGTTACATTGTTGCCTAATTATGTTGAGTTTTGTCTCAACAATACAGTTTCCAACAAATTCGCTTTTACCTGTAGTAGGGGAAATGTGAATAACTGAGAAAGTAAATAAGACATAGGGCAAACCCAAGTCAGAGAACTTCAAGTTTTTGAAAATATCTTTACCCACTCTTTTTTGAGAGGAAAAGGACAATATAAATAAGCTGACATGAAGGGATTACTACAGAACAAAAATTCCTAGGGTCTGGATGAATCCACCCTGTCACCTGTGTACTCCCACAAATTTGTAGGCTCTCTCTACTTCCAGAGCATTACGGAAAGAGGGGGCTGACTGCCGTACCACCATTATTTGTAAGTAGCTTTGCAGTCATAAGAGGTGGATTTTCAAAAGATGCAAATCCACGATCTCATTCCAGCCCTCCCAACAATGCCATGAAGCAGGGATTATTATGCCCATTTTCAGAGGAGGAAATTAAGATCAGAAGATTCACAAGACTTTTCCAAGATCCTGTTTCTAGTAAGTCCTGAAGTTTGAATCCAGGTTTTGTTATTTTCTTCTTCCATTTTAGCCTTTTACTATGGACAATTTTAAGCGTGTATAAAAGTAAAAAGGATAATAAAAAGTAACTAATACGTTTTACCCAGCTTCAATAGCAATCAATTTTATTTCATCTATGCTTTCCGCTCCCTCCCCATCTTAGATTTTTTTTTTTTTATGGATAGGTTTTTGCTATAGGGCATGTGCGCTTGCCAGAAAGACAGAGACAGAGACAGAAAGTGAGAAATCACCCCCTGGGGGTGATGGCCACGCCACAATCCCTTCTCCTCCATTCTCCTCTCAGGATCTTGGGCATGCATGCACACACACCCAGCGTGAGTTTAAGTCACTGGGTCCGGGACTTGAACCGCAGTTGACTACATGGAAGTCCAGCGACATAGCCGTTACATTAACTACTGGTCCCTCCATCTTAGATTATTATAAAGCAAATCTTAGACATCATATTTCATCCTTAAATACTTCAATGTGCATATCTAAGAGAAAAGGACTCTTCTTACCATTTCCCTCCTATACTCACAATATCATAATCATACCTAAGGAAATGAACACTAGTAATTTTTAAATATTACCTAATACCTAGCAATCTCATAAAGTGCCTTCTATGGTTGGTTGGTTGGTTTGGACTGGAATCAAAACAAGGTCCCCATTATCACATCTGATTTATAGTCTCTTAATCTATAGTGATTTTTCCTTCTCTTTTTCCTCCCTTGCCATTTATCTCTTGAAAAAAAAAATCAGGTCATTCACCTTGTACAACTTCTTCTCTTTTTTTTTTAACATTTATTTATTTATCTATTTATTTGTTGTGATTTTCAAGCCACCGGGTCCATGACTCATACTGTTGTCAGTCATGTGGGAATCCAGGGCTTTAACCACCATGCCACCTGCTGGCCCGCCTCGTACAGCTTTTTACACTCTGAATCTGACTGCTTGCATCCCTGTAATGTGTTCCTCTTTCCCATTTACGATTTTTGGCCATTGCACTTTACACGCGGGGCACTTCCTGTTGCATCACATCTGGACAGGAAGGTCTGGCTAGCGCTGTGTGTGATATTGAGATCGATCCTGGGAAGCACATTTCAGAATTCTCTCTGTTCACACACCTTGCCAGGTCAAGGGGAGGATGGGAGACGTAACTAGGGTAGGTCCCTGGTAGCTTACACTTTGCACTATAAGGGCAGTCCCCATCTGCCTTCTTTCATGTTCCCAGTGCCTGGTTTGGACCCAGGTATATATTTATAATAAATACCTGCAGAATGAATGCAGAGAAAGAAAAGAAAAAGATTGATTGTTAGTTCAGGTGTTGTTAGCCTTGTAAGCTTTTCATTAGCCTTCCATAGGATGGTTTCAGGAGCTATCGATGATCATTGCCTGGATCTGTCATTAGGGATTGCAAAATGCGTCCATGGTTTTTTGTTTTGTTTTGTTTTGTTTTCCTGATACCAAGTCATGTGCTCTGTTTAATTTCACTGTTGCCCAGTTAAAGGAAGCCTTTATATACTGACAGGTGTTCTCCACTTGTGATAGGTGGAAAAAAATCTTTCAATAAGTAGCTCGATTTACTATTGGGTCATCAGAAAATTCCTATTTTTCTATGCAAAAATGCATCATGACTTTTCTAATAACCCAATATAATATAAAGGAACCAGAACCTTCATGCTGTCCCACACTAGCTGGTGACCACACATACCTTTTTGGGTTGTTGGTCTTAGGTATTTACAAAATCATACAGTGGAAGACCTGCGTATACCAGTATTTTTCAAACTGCTGGTTACATGTAAGTAGGTTGATGAGATCAGCAAATGACATAAAGTTTACGTTGCTGGACTCCCACATAGTCAACCATGGTTCAAGTCTAAGACCCAGCGGCTTAAAACTCACACCAAGTGTGTGTGCGCCCAAAATCCTGAGATAAGGATGGAGGAGAAGAGATCGTGGCGTGGCCATCCCCCAAGGGGATGATTTCTCCCTTTCTATCTCTCTGTCTCAGTCTCTCCAGCGAGCACATGCACCCTATAGCAGAAATCTCTCTTTAAATAAATAAATAAATACATGTAAGTAAGTTGAAGAATCATTTAAGAGAGGAGTTGCAGCTTTAAAAAAAATCTTAAATGAAAGAGTGGGAAAAATATTGGAGTATTATTAACGTAAGAAAAAGCATTGTTTTGTAAAACTTCTGTTTTAGCTCTGATTTATGTATGTGTGAGCTATGATGTAAAATGTAGTTTTATGTGAAAAGGAATTTTATGATTATTTTACTCTATAACATATTAGCAAATACACCTCATCAGATTTTTCTCAAATGACAAGGGAGGCATAGTTCTCTGATTCCCCTGAGAACCTCCCTGTCACCTATCTTTTGGAGGATCCAGCTTCTTTTTTTTTTTTTTGGAGAGGTTTTTGCTATAGGGCGTGTGAGAGAGACAGAGAGACAGAAAGTGAGAAATCACCCCCCGGGGACATGACCACGCTGCAATCCCTTCTCCTCCATTCTCCTCTCGGGATCTTGGGCACGCATGCACATGCGCCTGGCGTGAGTTTAAGCCACCGGGTCCAGGATGCGAACCACGGTCAACTACATGGGAGTACAGCGATATAGCCATTATGCTAACTGCTGGTCCCAGGATCCAGCTTCTCATGAGGTCTGTGGCAGTGTCCATGAGGATACCAATGGTGCTTAGTAACAAAGAGCATTTTGCTAAGTTGTTCTACCACGGTCCTTGCTCAATGTGCTCGCCTATTTCTTCTAATCTGGTTTTCAGCCCTTGGTCATGTGTTTCTTCATTTTGTGCACAGGGTCTGGTCGAGGGACAGGTTTTGTGTGTTCGTATGGAGTGTCCATGGACAAGTGGTGGCATACTGTTGTCCTGCCATCAGATGTCAAAGCAGGCTCCACTTTGCAATTACTCTCGTGTTTATTTTGTGTTTGCTACTCTTAGCTTGCTGAGGAAGGAACCCTTCATGGATCTTTCTGAATCCTAACTTGCAATGGTTGCTCAGTTTCTGTTCATGGAATAAGTGAATGAATCGACATCACTTTCCTCTGTTATTACATAGCCTCCTGCAGTGACACTTCCTTTGACTCTGTTAGGTCAGCTTCCCTCTCAGAGCAGAACCTGCTAAATGTTTCTAAGGTCATTTCAGGCATAAATGGAGGTAGAGGGAATGGTGTAAAGCACCCCGGAGCCCGTCATCCAGCTGCAGCAGTTTTCAGCGTCTTAGAACATATATTGATTTGGGATGTGGGCAGAGGGAACAAGAGGACTTCGGGGTGCTCATTTTGATGTTGTGGGGAAAGAAGAAGGGCACACCTGGTGGGTGGGGTAGAGAAAGAGGAGGCTGGTGACCCAAAGCCCAACCTGCCTACCATCTTAAGGGTTGTCGTGAGTTTCATGAGTTGACATTAAAGTGCAAAGGGCCATGGTCACCACAAGCGAGTGCAACTTCAGCGCTCTGGCCACTGCCTCTCACCCTTGCCATCACTGTCTCTACTGCGTAGCTTGAGGGAGCTGCATGTTGTGGCCGTGGACACCAGCCTTTCCAAGCTGCTCTTCATCTGAAAAATGGGAGAAATGATAGCATCTGGGGCCAGGCGGTGACATGATGGTAATGCAGCAGGACCCACGTGAAGGTCCCAGGGGTGCATCCAGGAGCCTTCCTGTGCAAATTGAGTGTGCATGTGCACACCCATCATCCAGGATGGCCGAGGCTGGGGTACTGCCAGCATGCCGCACCTCTCTCTCTCTGTCTCTTTCTCTCTCAGAGGAAATAAACTTTCCATTTCTGTCATTTGCCTGAGTGTGTTTGAGCTCTCCAGAG